TCAGCAGAACATCTTTGTAGCTTCTTCTGGGGAGAAAAACACTTAGAGAAAAAATAAAGTTAACAGCTGAAATACCAGGAAATAATACAGTTAAAGAGCAGATTGCAGAAGAAAGTAGTCGAGTGTGGAAAGTGGTCAGTGTGTCCTCCAGCAGTCTAAGCCTACAGCAGCATAACTACAGAGATAACTCTGGATAACCTAGCGTTTTAGATTGAGGCACATTGGAGGCTGGGCAAGGGACAGCCGTCTTTACCAACTGTACACTCCACCTCCCTCTACTACCCAACTTGTCCAGATCTAGGCTAACATCAGATTTTAACCATAGACCTTATCAAATAAAAATGTTTTAAGCCTAGTCTTAAAAGTAGACAAGGTGTCTGCCTCACGGACTAAAGCTGGGAGTTGGTTGCACAAGAGAGGAGCCTGATAACTAAAAGATCTGTGTCCCATCCTATTTTTTAGATATTCTGGGAACCACCAGTAAACCTGCAGTCTGAGAGCGAAGTGCTCGGCTAGGAACATATGGAACAATCAGGTCACTGATGTATGATGGGGCTTGATAACTGAGAGCTTTATATGTGAGAAGAAGGATCTTAAAATCTATTCTGAATTTAACAGGCAGCCAATGTAGGGAAGCTAAGACAGGAGAGATATGATCGCTCTTTTTAATTCTCATCAGAACTCTAGCTGCAGCATTTTGGACAAGTGGAAGACTTTTAACTTCATTCTGTGGACTTCCTGAGAGTAATGAATTACAGTAATCCAGTCTTGATGTAATAAATGCATGAACTAGTTTTTCAGCATCACTCCTGGAAAGGATGCTTCTAATCTTAGCAATATTCTGAAGGTGGAAAAAAGAAATCCTACAAACCTGTTTAACGTGGGATTTGAATGTCATTTCCAGGTTGAATATTACACCAAGGTTACTTACTTTGGTCTCAGAGACTAATTTAATGCCATTCAGGTCAGGTGATTGACTAAGCACTTTCCTTTTCTGAATTTTGGGTCCAAAGATGAGAACTTCAGTCTTGATTTAAAAGCAAAAGGTTTTGAGTCATCCAATTTTTTATGTCTTCAAGACAAGCCTGTAATGTTACTAACCGATTAGGTTCATCAGGGTTAATGGATAGATATAACTGAGTATCATCAGCATAACAGTGGAAGTTTATCCCATGCTGTCTAGTCATTTTACCAAGTGGGAGCATATATATATATCATCATCATCATCATCATCATCTTTATTTATAAAGCGCTTTCCATCAATGAGAGATTGAACCAAAGTGTTGTACACACAACAAATATATAAGAAGTAAAACAGTAACCAAGCAGTGACTAAAATAAAACAAAATGGATTAAAGCAATAAAGATGTTAGTTAAAAGACAAGATAAGAATGACTAAAAGAAGGCTAGTCATGTCTCACCATGGTGTAAAAGTGGCTTTTCAACCTGCTCTTAACAACTGGCAGAGAGGGTGCTTATCTGATCTCTAATGGAAGGTCTTTCCAAAATTTGGGGGCCCAGACCGAGAAAGCCCTGCCATCTCTGGTCGAGCACCGCACACGTGGAACGACCAACAACTCCAGCTGTGATGACCTCAAAGCATGCAATGGAGTGTACAGGGTGATTGAATCAGAGAGGTATGATGGTGTACGGCCCTATAGTGACTTGCAGACAAACATGAGTACTTTGAGCTCAACTCTAAAGGAGACCGAAAGCCAATGCAGATGAGCCAAAATTGGTGTGATGTGTTCATGCCTCCTGGTGCCAGTCAGGAATCTAGCTGCAGCATTTTGTACCATTTGGAGCTGAGCTAGGGCAGTCTTGCTAACTCCAGAGTAGAGGGAGTTGCAGTAATCTAATCCAGAGGTGATAAAACCATGGACTACCATCTCCAGGTGAGCCAGTGACACTATCGGCTTAATCCTGGATATGCAGCGGAGATGGAAAAAACAGCAGCGAACTACACTGTTAATATGAGCATCCAGCTTTAGTGATGCGTCCAACTTCACACCTAGATTACTAGATTACTAACTAGGTATTTCTTAAAGGAGGCCAACAAAGAGAGGTCAACGTCTAGACCAGAGGCAATATTTATACTGGGGCTAAAAACTATTATCTCAGTTTTACTCTCATTAAAACAAAGATGTTTTGGCTTCTTTGTAGTAACAAGAACTGGCAGAACCTTGTTTTGGATTTGGGGCCAAACAGATGGTGTTTTTCTGTCTAAAATGAAAGGTTCCTTTCTGGTCAATTGTACGAGAAAAATTTGACCACGTGTTTCGTTACACCAGTGATCACAAGGGTACAGGTTTGATCCCCGCCTCTCACCAGAGAATGCTCCTGTTGTGTCCTTTGGCAAGACACTTAAACCACCTTGCCTGCTGGTGGTGTTTGGAGGGACTGGTGACGCCAGTGGATGGCAGACCTCGCCTCTGTCAGTGTGCCCCAGGGCAGTTGTGCCTACAATGTAGCTCATCCCCACCAGCCTGAGAATGTGTGAGAGTTGTAAACAGGAACAGGTGCTAACCACGTCGCGAACGTGGGATTAGCCATCCAGTTACCAATAACTTGCACTTCCCCATGGCACAATCTCCCACTAGCTTAACCAGCTAATGTGCTCATCTAAAAATAGCCCCATTTCACAAGCAACTGAATGTGTACGGTTCCGCTTACGCCAATGTCATACACAAAAAACGCTGAACACTAACTTGAAATTCACGAAAATTTTATAGAAATAAAAGGACCTTGTTTATTGGGTCTTTGGTAATTTAAGACCTTTGGAAACTGTACTTAAGGACTGTCATTTTTAAAGATTTTTAAGTCCTTAAATTTGGAAAAGCAACTTTTCTTTTAAGGACCCACGGATACCCTGTTTCGTGTCAAAGCACAGACACAAAACACAACGCATTATATCTTGTATGTCCCTGATAGGCTACAGTATTTCAAGATGGTGCACGACTATGAAGCATCAACCACAGATTATGTATATAAAACATTTAAAACTTCAAGGTCAAGGTCAATTTTATTTATAGAGCGCATTTACAGCAGCAAAGCTACACCCAAAGCACTGTACAAGGTAAAACAAATCAACGATAAAAACCTAAAATAAAATGAGCACACAACAGTCACAATCTATAATAAAAACTGTTAAAAACTATTAGGATGCTCAAGTCAACCTGCATTAAAAGTCAAATTAAAAAAATGCGTCTTAAGAAGGAATTTAAAATGCTCTAGATTCTGTGTGGTCCTGATGTTGAGTGGCAGCTTGTTCCACATTTCGGGACCAACCACAGAGAAAGCTCTGTCACCGCGAGTCTTGTGTCGGGTTTTTGGAACTGTTAAAAGAGCTTGAGAGCTGGACCTCATGGTTCTGGCAGGGATGTAACGGACAGCAGCTCAGAGATGTAAACTGGGGCCAGGCCATGAAGGGATTTAAAAACAAAAAGTAAAATTTTGAAATGGATCCTGTAAGAGACAGGAAGCCAATTGACCTGGCATCACTAAGTGGCAAATAGATCTGAAGGTCATCAGCGAAACAGTGAAAAGTAATTTTATATTTCTCAAAAATAGAGCCTAAGGGGAGCATATATAAGGAAAAAAGTGCTGGACCCAAAATGGAGCCCTGAGGCACCCCACATGTCAGAGGTTTTGTTTTCGAGGTAAAAGGTCCCAGATTAACGGAAAATGACCTCTTGTGAAGGTAGGATTTAAACCACTGGAGAACAGCACCTCAGAGACCAACGCATGACCGTGATCAACGGTGTCAAAAGCAGCCAACAGATCAAGTAAAACCAAAGCTGCTGACTGGCCAGAATCAGCAATTAAAAGAAAGCCATTAAAAACTCTTGAAAGAGCACTTTCAGTGCTATGACGGGGCTTAAAACCTGACTGAAATTTTTCTGAAATGTTAAGCTAATATGAATATTTAGAACAGATTTTGGGGAGAGTTAGTAATGAAAAAAGGACAAGTTTGTTTACAGATACACAGAATTTGATCATTAACAAGTAAAGATATTACACACTGTGGCTTTAAGAACACAAGAAATATTCCCTAATGAGAACACAGTGACTGTTCTTGAGCCAGTTATATAAAAAAATCATTCTGGAGAAAGCTATGCAACCAGAACCCCAATCTGTTTCATTCAAACCCGTCTCATCCTTTCTCTCCCCGTCCAGTTTCTGCTTTGATTCACTTTGGAACAGATCCTCATCGAGACACAGACAGACAGACAGACAGACAGACAGACAGACAGACAGACAGAGAGAGCGAGAGAGCGAGAGAGAGAGAGAGAGCGAGAGAGCGAGAGAGAGAGAGAGAGATCATCGAATCAGCTAATGTTAACATAATTCTGATGTGCAGCATCAGAACTTTCTGGAGAAAGTTTTAATAAAACATCAGATAAATAATAAAAACGACTCGACCAGAATTAAAGTAAATTAGCCCAACTGTATTTTTTTATTCATTATTTCGTTAAAAAACAAGGGCAGTTTATTTTATTCATTCAAGTTTATTTATGTAGCTCCAAATCACAATTTATTTAGTTTGTTTTATTAACATTTTCTGTTTCAAAATCAGAAACATAACTAAATCTAATTTAAAAATGAAATCGAAACATGTTCATGTTCTGGGCTAGGACTATTTACTGAAACAAATTAACCTCATGCTCCGAACCACAGGAAGGGTTCGGTTCAATCAAGACAAAACCCATTTAAGCCCGAACTCCTGAGCGCTCAGAACCAAACCCGTCCGAACTCTCACGTTTACAACAATAAAAGCTCGTATAAAAATAATTGATAAATTTAAGTATTATTTTCACCACCTGCTGACTCGGATCTTTTAAACAAACTTTGAACAATTGGAGCCAGCCGCAGTGGAGCGGGTCGGAACCATTAGGTCCGTCATCCTGCCCCGCCCCCCTGGGTCCGGTGGGAGAAGGCCCACCGGTCTCCTCAAAGGGAACAGGAGAGGAGACGCGCAACGGCATCCAGCAGCTGACCAAACCGAACCGAACCAAGGCTAGGGGGTGGGGGGTGGCGCACCATGTCCTTCAGCCCAAAGTCCACACCGTTCTCAGTCACAGATATCCTGAGCCCAATAGAGGACAGTTATCGCAGGTTCGGAGGGATGGAGCCCGGTTCCGGCAGCCTCGGGTCCCCGATGTGCGCCTACCGGACACAACAGGTCTCTCAGTGCGGGATGCACCACCACCACCACCTGTCCTCCTCCTCCGCTGCAGCGCTGGGACCCGGAGGGGCCTGTGCCACCCACCCACCGTTCACCGGGAGCGGTTTCGGGACCGTGGGAGAGCTGCCGCCCTATGAAACGGCGCGGAGCGGCAGAGCGGCCTGGTACGGGGGACCGGAGAGCAGATACCCGGCGAGTAAGAAACGGTTCCGGTCCAAGTTTATGTAGGAGCAGAACCAGAACTTTGTAGAACACACGAGCCGCTTCGTTTAGATTTTGTTTTATTAAGTGACTTTATTCAATTTTGGGCCCAATAATCTTTCTGGTTCTGACGTTGATTTTATTTCCTATTTGTTTTTATTCGTTTGAGTTTTCTTTTATTTTAAACTTTCGTTTGATTTTTTTTAAACATTTATAAATAAATCCGGATTTTTTAAATTCAGATTTTCAGACAAACTGACTGTTCTCTCTAAGTCTCCAGGTTCATGGGCGGTTCCGGTGGGATGGACTCCGGTACCAAGTCCATGGTTCCGCGGAGGAAGCGGCGCGTGCTGTTCTCACAGGCCCAGGTTCTGGAGCTGGAGCGGCGCTTCAAGCAGCAGAAGTACCTGTCTGCCCCGGAGAGGGAGCACCTGGCCGGCCTGATCCACCTCACCCCGAACCAGGTCAAGATCTGGTTCCAGAACCACCGCTACAAGCTGAAGCGGCAGGTCAAGGACAAGGCCTCCGGGTCCCCGGTGCTCTCCAAGACAGCCAAAGACTGCAACCGGACCGGGAACCGACAGAGCAGCTTGGCGGAGGCCGTGCCGCAGCAGAACTCGTCGTCCACCGCGGAGGGCATGGAGGACATGTCTCCGGGTCCCCCGGTGGGACCGCAGGCTCAGATCAGCACGACGCAGACAGACGCGGCTCTGATGGATTTAACGGGCGGTGCGCTCGGGTCCAGTCTGCTGTTTGGCCGAACCTGGTAGCACCGCGGACGGGTTTAAACACTCAGACCCAAAGACCAGAACCGGAACCTGGACCCGGATTTTCATTATTTTATTTCAGGTTTTCAAAATAAGTGCGGGTCCAACAAAAGGTTTCAGGTTGGTTCTGATAAATCCTGCTTTTGTTCTGGATGTTTAACAGAAAGAAAACTCAATATTTAATGTCAGAAAAATGTTTATTGGAGTTTCAGCAGTAACATTAAACTAATGTTTTCTTTACTATTGAATAAAAGTTAAAGTTTGATAAAAACCTCTTAAACCCGAATTATAATTTTAGTTCACTGGTTTCATTCAAATTGATCCACTTGGAGAATTTTCTCTCAGAAACCAGTTCAGAACATCTGGGTTCTGCTACAAGACCCGGTTTAGTTCCAGTTGTAGCGCCTGGATGGAGGTGGGGGAGGGTAGCTTCTGGAGAAGGCCTGAAACAAAAACAAAAGAGGTTTAAACTGGAGGTCAGAGGTCGCAGACAGGCATCAGGTCACATGTTAATGAAATTAAAAATTCAGACACAAAAAAGGAAAAATAATTTTTTTTCACCCACTGAATCAGAAAATTTGGAAAAAATATTTTTAGAAAATATATCAAATTCAAGTCAAACGATCCTGAATGGTTCTGAACCCGCTTTAGGAAAGACATGGTGGATTACCTGGCTCCAAAAAGGAATCACATCATTCCAGGTCATAAAACTACAACTTTTCTTCCTGCTTTTATTTCACTGAAATCTTTTTTATTTAATAAAGGAAATGTTTCCTTCACCATTACAGACTAAAGGGTTCTGTGTCTAGAACCCAAAGGCTCTACCAACGGAACTTCATTATTCCTGGAAGACTAGTCAGATTCTGGGAACTCGGTTTTACCTGCTGATGCGGATCCCGGTTGTCACGGCGATCCTCACGCCGGTTGGGCCACTGCGCGTAGTGCTGCTGGTAACCTCCGCGGTTCGGGTTCTGCTGGTCCCAGACAGGCCCCCCCGCTCTGAACGGCTGCTGCTGCCTGCAAACAGACTGTTTATTAATAACAACAACAACAACAACAATTTCTACAAATAATAACTATCAACAAAAACAACAACTACGAACCACACAGGACTGAAGAACATATATCTGGAATAAGTGCACGGCGTCTCCTCCATACGTAAACCAGAGCCACGGCCAGATTTATAATTATACTAAACTTTTACAGATTGAGCCAAAATGTTCCTGAATGTAACCTGTAATTTTAACAGAACTGTAAATATATAAAAAAATCAGTTTCAACATGTGAGTCTAATGTCTTGTGACCTGTTTTAAACGTGTCTCGGTTCAAGTGCTGATACACTAGCGAATCACATCCCCATGGACATTTCTAGGCTCAAAGGCCACGAGGTTGATCAAGGATTTGGGTGATTCAGCTTTGTTTTCCAATGAGGTTGTTTGGAATAGTTTTTCCTAATAGCGTTGGCACGGTAACTCAACACGCTGAGAAATGGGACATCACATATCTGGTTGTTTTAGGGTAACGTGCATGGGTGCACCTTTCTGTTCCAGCCACAGTTTCTTTGGCTGAAGAAGTAAATAAACAATAAGCCGAGCGTGTTGTCCAGTGAAGAACAATAGGACCTGCCCCTGAAGTATCCTCGTGTTTTCTGGGCAGGTCCTATTAATAAGAAAAATAACCTGATTTTTAGAAACAATAAATGTTTTTCTACCTAAATCAGTTTCATTTCCTCATTTTTCACCAAATAAATGAAAGTGAAACAACAGCTTTTTACTTTTTAAATAAAATATGGTTTGATGTTTCATCCAAGAGATCCAGGATTGTTCTGGTCCAGACTACTAACTGATTAGAACCAGGGCTGCTGACCCCCTCCTCAAGCAGAGGCATTAAACCAGGATGACTTGGAGCATCATCACATCCCGCATTATGGAACCAGATCACATTCGGCCATGCAGCAGCAGACTTAAGTCAACCCTGGAGTCTATAATCCTCCTCAGAGCTCCTCCCGCTCCGTCAGGAGGAGCTAAACAACCCTAATAACAGCTGACCCAAGGTGACTCTCAGCAACAATGGACCTAAAGAGGAGAACTGGGGAACCTAATTAGGAATCTGAAAGGACCTCCAGCCCAAACCGATAGCTGGTGTGTGCAGGAGGAGGATTAGTGACGCCTCATTAAGCTGAACAAACCTCCACAAAACTTTGTTGTACAACATAAAAAACTTCTGAAGCTGCAGCATCCCAATGGAGGCGGGTCCAGGCAGGTCTGAGCTGAATCCCAATTGATCCTGGTCCTGTTGGACCAGACCGGACCCGTTTATGCTTGAATTATCGAAAGACTTTCTGATAACCCAGTGAAACAGGTGTGCTCAGACCAGGGTTTTAATAATTTTGCAATTTTAATTTTTATTTAGTTTTTCTGTCAAAATTTTTATTCTACTCAGCTTTAATTAGTTTTTACAACTTGTTAGTTTTTTTTTGTTGAAAATTGGTTAATTTCAGTTTACTTTTATATGTTTCAGTCATAATTTGAGTCTTTTTGTAATAACAGTTACACGTCAGGGATAAAAATGAATACATTCAGGCAGGTGTCAAAGGTATGCAGCAAAACACACTTTCAAAGCTGGTAGTATACACAGACCTACAGAAATCATCCTTTACAGGATTTTTATATGAACATTAGGAGGCACAACATTGCTTTGCCCGGTGTTGCCTTCTGATCCCGAGGTAAATGGGGACGGATGCTCCTTAACCTTCTTGATGTAAGCTAGGTTAGCGGTCTTGTCAGATTTGTGGAGTTGAGAAACGTTCCACATATTTACTTTCATCTAAAATGCAGTTTTATTCTAAGTACTCCCACTCTGTCGCTTCCTTCCAACTCATGACGCTCAACGTTGACAGCTGAGCTGTCCGAGTTACGTGCTCAAAAACAAAACTACTGGAAATTACACACAAGACTAACACAAAAACTAAGCTTAAGTTAGTTTTAGTTACGTTTGTTAACGCTCTTTTCAGTTTCAGTTTGTTTTTCTTCCAAAAATATATATTTTTTTCAGTTAATGAAAATTTTTCTATTTCTAGATTTCTTTAATAAAACCCCGCTCAGACCCAGAAGGAGCTCCGATCTATTTGTTCTGATCAGAGAAGTCACAGTGGAAACAGGAACTCACCTTGTAAATGGAGGCTGATGGCCGCTGAAGGAGGGCGGAGCTCCAGGTGTAGTGCTCTGCCTGGAATCTGTAGACAACGAAAAGAACGATCAGTGGTTTGATGAAGTCCTGCTCACAAGGATGGGGCACCCAGATCCTGACCCCTTCCACAAACCGGGTCAGCTGGCAGCACGCAAACATGAAATATAAATTCTGAAACACACAAACTGTTGCCACTGCAACAAGGTGTGTGTGTGTGTGTGTGTGTGTGTGTGTGTGTGTGTGTGTGTGTGTGTGTGTGTGTGTGTGTGTGTGTGTGTGTGTGTGTGTGTGTGTGTGTGTGTGTGTGTGTGTGTGTGTGTGTGTGTGTGTGTGTGTGTGTGTGTGTGTGTGTGTGTGTGTCCTAAAGCAGATCTGGGACCAGCTGATGGTTCTGACAGAAATCAGATGACTACAATAGAACTTGTTCTGCTTCTGTCTGATTATCTCGACAATCTGAAGTGGACCACCCAGGGAGAGTCCAATTAGAACCCGTGTCTTTTCTTGGTCCTCACCCAGAGACAAGAGGACACCTGTCCATCTCTGGCATGAACAGAGTGTGTGTGTGTGTGTGTGTGTGTGTGTGTGTGCGTGCGTGCGTGCGTGCGTGTGTGTGTGTGTCCTAGGGCAAGGCATCAGATCATTTCATTTCCTGCAGCCCTGCAGGTTTAGTTCTTCCAGAACCAGAACTTCTAACTGATGCTGCAGAAAAACCTCAAGACTAAAACAGCTGAGAAGAACCAACTGAAACCAGTAAGATGGACCAAAAGGTTCTTCTAACAGAACCTCATCAGATCCAACCAGGCTCATTTGGAACTAACGGAAACAATACGGCAGAGTTCTGATCCAATTAAATAACCAGACTTGTAATTTCTCTGACTGAAAATTCAATCCGGTCCATAACTCCTGATCCAGTCCGAGCCCTTGACCCTGTTTAGACATTCTGAAACCTCAAAGATGTTTTTTTTTTCTGACCCAGTTTCAGTCCTGGCATCAGAACCCTTTCAGAGGAATGTTCTGAACTCTGACCTGGTTCAGTCTCCATCCTTCTTCAGAAAGCCTCACACCCCCAATTAGAAAGAGCCAACGAGTCCTGCAGACCACTTCTGAGTCTCATTACAGACCCAGGCCCCCCACAACAATACAACCTCCCACCAGAACCCAAACAACAGCCCAGTGCAGCAGGCTGCTTAGTTTCCAGGACAAAGGATCACTGCTGCAGAAAAATAACCAATTGTCCCCAAGATCACATTCCTGGTCCCAGTGACAGCAGCTGGCTTGGTTGAGTCCAGTTTCACCACAGTTCCGACCTTCAGATTTCAGTTTCCAACAGGACTTGGCACCTGCACACAGTCCCAAAGCTACCAATTAGGGTTGTCACGGTAACCGGTATAGCGGTAAACCCCGGTAAAAAAGTTGACAATAAAAATAACCGTCCAGTTTTTAAAAAACTAAATTATCTCGGTGGGTTTACCGTGGCCGCGGTTTCGGCGCGGTGACCCTTACCAGCCACCGTCGCTTCAGCTGAAGTTCCCGCGGCGCGCACGCGCACTTTTTAGTTTGCAACGGCACCAAAACTTTGAAGCTGAAATAATGGCCGAAGGAGGAGACGGCAGCGCCCAGGACATCCATCAGCCCTCAAAGAAGACTAAATCGGAAGTATGGGCATATTTTGGATTTCTGAAAAATGCTGAGGGACAGTTAATGGAAGACTGCTATCCCGTTTGCAGAACGTGCAGGAAACAAGTGTCTGCAAAAGGCAGCAACACTTCAAATCTAATGGCACATCTGCGTGACCATCACCCACGTCTCCACAGCCAGTGCAAGGTAAGTCAACATGAGCATTTTAGCTTAAATGCATGACGTGAGGACTTTTGGTTGAGGGAGAATGCAACGAGTCACTATAAACTGCAGCCGCAGCGTCCTCTGCCAGCATTTAAACCGTGTCACGGACACCCTGTTGCTGGATGAAGCATCTTATTTGTTGATGATGAAGAGAAATATACAATTAGTTCCTTGTCATTGATTTGTTTACTTATTCAATGCCATTTATACTTGAACATTTGGATTTGATTACATAGTGTAGTAGTTATTTTAGTAATTTGTTTAAAGTGGCTATTTATTTTAAATACATATTTTTTAAGGTTGACTTGTACAGTGCTCAAGTCAAGTGTGGACTGGAGTTTTAGATTTTCATTTTGATAATGAAGAAAACAAGTATATGAGAAAACAAGTGGTGTTTCTTTGATTTGTTTACATATTGTTTATATTTTGAATGTTTGGATTTGTATAATTTAAACCTGCACTGACTACTGTAACACGTTCCAGAAAAAGAAGCTATTTGTTCCTTTACTTGTGAAAAGTTGCACTTTTGCTAAGGCTTGTGTTATTTTAGGTTTAATAAACACTGTTAAACCTTTTCAAACCTATTTCAGTTTGTGTAGAACAGGACTATCAATGCTTTCTGAACATATGCAACACCGTTTAAAAAATACCGCGATAATACCGAAAACCGTGATAATTTTGGTCACAATAACCGTGAGGTTAAATTTTCATACCGTGACAACCCTACTACCAATACCTGGTTTAAGGCCCATAGTATCCATGTTCTTGATTGGCCAGCAAACTGGCCCGACTTTAATCCCATAGAAAATCTAAGAGGAAGATGTATTGCACCATACTCAACAATTCAGAAGAACTACTACAAGACCCGGTTTAGTTGCAAGAGAAACTCTCACAAAACCTGAGCAGTGCCACAGACTGCTGACCGAACCACTGACTCCATGCCACGCCTCATTGCTGCAGTAATCCAGGCTAAATGAGCCCCAACTAAGTACTGAATGCTGTACATGCTCATACTTTTCAGTTAGCCAACATTTCTAAAATTCCTTTTTATGCACCGTCTTAATTGATATTCTAATATTTTGAGATACTGAATTTGGGAGTTTCATTAGTTGTCAGTTTTTATCATCAACACTGAAAAAAATATACATTTGAAATATATCAGTATGTGTGTAATGAAAGAATTTAGTGTCACTTTTTGAATGGAATTCCTGATATAAATCAACTGTTTCATCATATTCAAATTTTATGACTATCATCTGTATGCTAGCATACTAAAGTGGAAGGGTGGGGGTTCAGTTTGGAGTTAGTTCTTAAAGTCGTGACCCAAAAAGCAGCTCAGTAGAGCGATGCATCAGCTTTAGTGTGCGAGTGTCACAAGCTGGTGTTATAACTCATCCGTCCATCTAGGGCTGAGCGATATGGACCAAAACTTATATCTCCATATCTTTTGGCTGAATTCAGATATACGATATATCTCTCTCTCGATATATTTCCTCCTGTAAAATATTTACAAGTTAACCCACTTCAAGCTGTCTTGAGAAATTATACATAAATCAGTAGATTAAATGCTCAAAAATGTACTGATTCTTGTCAAACTTTGACCTTAGTGCCTTTTCTCTACCAGTCTGCCAACACACACACACACACACACACACACACACACACACACACACACACACACACACACACACACACACACACGTTCCCTATCGGATAAAATAATGATATTTTTATTTTTTCCCTAAACAGCAGGAGTGTATTCTGGCCACGCATGCGAAAGTTCTGGTGCAACCCAAACTTCAGAAGGATGGAACCTCAGCAGACGATCCCTCGGCTTTCAACGATGTTGAGGTTAGTGAAGAATCCAAGACCCCCTATGTCAGAGCTGATGAGGAAAAGGATAACTATTTGAAAGCTTCATCATTGCCCCTGTCTGAGGACCCTTTAAACTGGTGGAGGGTACACAAGGTTAAATTTCCTCTCCTGGATCAACTGTCAACACGATACCTTTGCATCCCTGGAACAAGTGTATCTGCAGAACGTGTTTTCTCCATTGCGGGAGACGTTGTCACGGCCAAAAGATCTACTCTCAAACCACAGCATGTAGATCAACTGGTGTTCTTGCACAAAAACCTCCAACTTCCAAATGTTAACTGGTCATCATGATGACTTTTCAGTACATCGTCTTAAATTCAAACAAATGTTAAAATGTTTACACGTTTTGTTGTCCCAAGGACTGTTATGTATTATTTGTGGATTTTCCGAAACATGTCAGTATTGGTAAAGATTTTGCGAACATCTGAAAAACACGTCTTGTCCACCCCCCAAGGTCCTATGTGTATGATTGTGTGATGATGTGAGGGAGCAGGAGGAGAAAAATGTGTGGGGATGGGGATGGGGAGAAATGGTTGGTTGGCCTAAGCCCTCCAAGGATAAACCATCAATCCTGCTCAATGGTCAACTTTCCTCACGGGGCCACCCATAAAGACAGTGGGAGGGTTAAGCTATCAGGCTCCTCTCTTGTGGAACCAGCTCCCAGCTTTAGTCCGTGAGGCAGACACCTCCCCAGAAGAAGCTACAATGATGTTCTGCTGGGCTGTGGTGGCCTCATGGAGGGGGCCATCGGCTAGCACACTGCTGCTAACCACTTAATCATTCTCCCTCTCCTGATAATAACATTTTACTTTCTTTGACATTGAATGTGCTACTACTAGTTTACCCGTTTAATTATAGATTCACTAGGAAAAAATACAATAAAGTTTATCTCTCACCAAATAGAATATTTACCAAGAAATCACAATGTTACCATAGAAACATTACTTGGTAGTAGGGTTGTCACGGTATGAAAATTTAACCTCACGGTTATTGTGACCAAAATTATCACGGTTTTCGGTATTATCGCGGTATTTTTTAAACGGTGTTGCATATGTTCAGAAAGCATTGATAGTCCTGTTCTACACAAACTGAAATAGGTTTGAAAAGGTTTAACAGTGTTTATTAAACCTAAAATAACACAAGCCTTAGCAAAAGTGCAACTTTTCACAAGTAAAGGAACAAATAGCTTCTTTTTCTGGAACATGTTACAGTAGTCAGTGCAGGTTTAAATTATACAAATCCAAACATTCAAAATATAAACAATATGTAAACAAATCAAAGAAACACCACTTGTTTTCTCATATACTTGTTTTCTTCATTATCAAAATGAAAATCTAAAACTCCAGTCCACACTTGACTTGAGCACTGTACAAGTCAACCTTAAAAAATATGTATTTAAAATAAATAGCCACTTTAAACAAATTACTAAAATAACTACTACACTATGTAATCAAATCCAAATGTTCAAGTATAAATGGCATTGAATAAGTAAACAAATCAATGACAAGGAACTAATTGTATATTTCTCTTCATCATCAACAAATAAGATGCTTCATCCAGCAACAGGGTGTCCGTGACACGGTTTAAATGCTGGCAGAGGACGCTGCGGCTGCAGTATATAGTGACTCGTTGCATTCTCCCTCAACCAAAAGTCCTCACGTCATGCATTTAAGCTAAAATGCTCATGTTGACTTACCTTGCACTGGCTGTGGAGACGTGGGTGATGGTCACGCAGATGTGCCATTAGATTCGAAGTGTTGCTGCCTTTTGCAGACACTTGTTTCCTGCACGTTCTGCAAACGGGATAGCAGTCTTCTATTAACTGTCCCTCAGCATTTTACAGAAATCCAAAATATGCCCATACTTCCGAGTTAGTCTTCTTTGAGGGCTGATGGATGTCCTGGGCGCTGCCGTCTCCTCCTTCGGCCATTATTTCAGCTTCAAAGTTTTGGTAACGTTGCAAACTAAAAAGTGCGCGTGCGCGCCGCGGGAACTTCAGCTGAAGCGACGGTGGCTGGTAAGGGTCACCGCGCCGAAACCGCGGCCACGGTAAACCCACCGAGATAATTTAGTTTTTTAAAAACTGGACGGTTATTTTTATTGTCAACTTTTTTACCGGGGTTTACCGCTATACCGGTTACCGTGACAACCCTACTTGGTATATATGGTGTGTGTGTGTGTGCGCGCGCTCTGTCTTTTCCATCCCCAGTGAGTCATGGTGGATGGCTGCTTATAATGAGCCAGGATCCTCTGGAGGTATCTTCCTGTTAACCTTTAAGGTTGGTTTATGCTTGACGCCTCCGCGAGGTCCGCACGGCTCAGCGCTGAAAAGTTGCGTCATTTTGCGTCATTTTAACAACCACGCCCCTCCACCGCGCCTAGGCACGGCCCAGAATTTCCGCAACGCGCACCTCGGAAAATTTCTAACCACGCGGACGGACGGACGTGGAAAAACATGGCGGACCGGCAAGAACTAGTATGGCAGAGGTTCGTAAATACAGACATTTGTATGATTCGGCTCTCAAAGATCACCGTGATCAACATGTTGTTAATAATTCTTGGAGAGAAATAGCTCGCACTGTCGGAAAAGACGAGAACGCTGTTAAAAATGCTGGAATGCCATGTTGTAAACAGTAATTTCTACTTCCACTATGGTGAAGTGTTGGGTGCATGCCATAGAGCTCCATGCTGCCCCCTACAGTTTGGGAGAATATTGGCTCACCGCAGAGACGAGCCGCACGAACCATAAACGCTGCGAGTTGTGAAGCGCGTTCCATCCGCGAGCCGCATCACTGCGCGGAAAGTGAATGCGTCAAGCATAAACCAAGCTTTAGGCCCTAGGCCTTTTGTCTTTGGGCCCTGGCGCTCCCAATCGGGGGCCTTTGGAGTTTCATGTCCCAAGAGTCGGTGATTGTTTGCATTCCCCGAGCACAGCTACATCTACAATCAAAACAGTTTAGATTGTAAACAAAGCAATTTTAGATTTTTGATACATTAAAATAAATAAAATAATACTTGAACTTTATTTTAGAAGAGCTGTCCTGTGTAAAAGTGCTGACAGGATGGAGGTTGTGAGTTCAAATTCCCTTTAGGAAATTTAGTCAATTGTTAAATTTATTCCAGGGGTCCTCAACTAAATTTGTTCAAGTATTTTTTTCCAGCAGACACCAGTGAAGGTCAGATGCTCTTCTAAAATAAAGTTAAAATATCATTGTATCTTCATTTATTACAATTTAAAATGACCTTGATTCCCATCTGGGCTGTTTGATTGTGGTTTTAGTTGTGTTTGGAGAATGTGGACAGTTGTAGATGTTTGGGACATGAAACTGTATGGCCCCCAATTGGGGGGCGTTAGGGTTAAACGGGAGTTTTCCTCTCCACTGTTGCTGCATGCTTGCTTAGTATGAGGATTGCTGTAAAGACTCTGACACTAGTCAGTGACTCGATGCAACCTGCTGGGTTCCTTAGATAGGAACCTTTTTACTGATTGGCTTAAAGAAATGACCTGTATTGGAATGTTTACTGTAGAGAGGTCCTTGAGAGGACTCTGGTCCTGATTTGGCGCTTTATAAATAAACTTGAATTGAACTTGAATTGAACTGACTTACACATGACAGGTTGGTGGGCTGAGCTCTGTGTGGGGCGGAAGCCTCCCTGGCGGTAGCTGCTGGGGGGTGGTGTGTTGCTGTACTGCCCCCTCACATTCTGGTTTCTGTTCAGACTGTGACTGAAAGACAAAAAGATTCTGTGAATCACTTGCCGACACGAAAACAACCTCTGTGTTGAATGAAGATGTTTAAATCAAATGTTTGATTAATCTGTGCTTTAATCAATGATGGATTTAAAATGAATATTGTTCCTGCATTATCCAGTTCAGATCTTAACACCAGATCAGTATGTTTGATTTAACAAGTTAATCAACATCTACACTCATTCACATTATAAGAAGATACTTATTAATGTTTATATTCACTTCACAAAAGTGTTTTAAAACATTCATAAAACGTCCTCACAAAGGGTTCACCTCACCATCTTTGCAGCTGAAGGAAGGTGGGGCGTTTGAGAAATGATTCGATAAAACTTTCAAACGTGTCAAATTTTGATTAGCCTAATTTGCCACATGCGTCAATAATGTGGTTTTAATAAAACAGGAATTACTTCCTGATTAATTCAGTTCCCAGCTGACGCCCAATTCGGCCAATCAAGTATGAAGCAATTTTGAAACATCATCTCTTTTGACATCCAGTCAAACCTCTCTGCAACGCTGATATCAGACAAACGGCTCTTCTAAGAGCTAAACAAACAGACTTAGATGCAAACAAGCATTCCAGCTTCCTGTTGTGACCTGGAGAGATCTCAGACTAGACGGGTCCTATCGGAGCTAATTCTGTGCTGGGGCCTCTGCTCTTCCTCCTCTATCTGCTTCCTCTTCAGCACATCCTGAGCTCCTTCAAAGGAATATCCTACCATCTTTATACAGATGACATCCAACTGTACATCTCCTTTAAGCCCCATGAGATGTCTAAGCTGCAGCTGTTACACACCTGCTTAGACTCTATCAAAACCTGGATGGCTGGGAGCTTTCTTCAGCTGAATGAAGATAAGACTGAGATCCTCATCTGTGCCCCAGACAAGCTGGTTCCCAAAGTCAGAGACTCTCTTGGTCAGCTTGCTTCCCACACCAAACCTTCCGTCAGGAATCTTGATGTGACCTTTGATGATATTTTCTTCTTCTTCTTCTTCTTCGAGTTCCTGATATTGAGAAGTTCTCTCCACTGGCAGTGTCCACCATGACCTCCTGACCCCCTGGATCGCACGAGAATCTCCACAAAAGGGTATCGTAGACTCAAGAGATTGCGTGGGATGGATTTTATAAACAAATTTCTAGTTTACCAAACAAACAGCCAAATTTATTTTACAACCCAGACTCCACAAATTCTCTGATACTAAAAGGTTCTGCTAAACCATCTAGCTTCCATTCCAACGTTCCACACCTCACATTAGATCACTCCATATCCATTCCATTACATCTCATTATTCATACCTGTCATGTATAATCATTAGTTTAGGGAAATAGAAATAAATTCATTTTATAAACTATTTACCGACTCTGTCTGAATTAATACCAAGTGTGTTTATGGTCCCTGAATAAGTAAAATAACTAGAATCTTCTGATTAAACATTCAAAGATCAATCAGATCAATATTTCATATTCATATGGAATCATCACATCTTACTGATCATTTTTAATAACTATGTAGTCAATCATCACCACCGCAGAGACCATAAGAGTTCCATCAGGTTTACGCAGTAGGGAATTACTAGAAACTAGCGTGTTTGGTTGTTGATTTAAAATAAATTCAATTCTTCTTTCTCATCTAAGCAGCAGCTGGTTTGGCTCCATTTAAGAATCAAACTGTCTGATTAACTGATTTAGCAGGAAAGAGGGATAAATGGTTTTCTCTAATCACTGATGATTATGTCCTAAACATGCTACTGTCAGGCACAGCCAGATGTTCAATTGTTCATTTTTTCTTAATTATAATATCAATGTGTGGAGAAAGGGCTGGTATCCTAATCAAGCTGCTTAATGAGAGAATTTAAACCAGTTCATCAGCTGTTATTGTTTACTACTGGAAAAAAACCCTGCAAAAGTTAATTTTATGTCTTTATGCAGCCATTTAATGGGAGCATACAGCAAAACACCTGAAGAGGACTAACACTTTCCCGTGAGCCATTACACCCCTAATATGTATGTACGTATGTGTGTGTATATATATATATATATACACATATATATAATGTTATTAATATTATTAGCATTATGGCTATTTCTGTGCTAAATAAAAAACAAGCTTTTAACACCACTAAACTACTACTACTGCTATTTCAATCTTAGGAGAATTGCAGAGATTAAGCCATTGCTCTCCAAAGAAAACATCTGGAAACTGTCATTCACGCCTTCATCATCACCAGGCTGGACTATTGTAATTCGCTGGCCTCCATAGAAACACTTCAGATGGTCCAAAATGCAGCAGTCAGGTTACTGACCGGTTCCAGGATGCCAGAGCACATCACGCCCATCTTTGCATTCCTACACTGGCTTCCAGTGTCTTTTAGGATTTCCTTTAAAGTCTTGTTTGTTTTTAAATGTTTGAATGGACTGGGTCCATGTTATTGGTCTGATCTGATTCACTCTTACATCCCATTGAGGTCCCTTCAGTCTTCAGAGCAGGAATTGTCCAAAGCACAGACTCGGATCAAGAGGGAGTCGTGCTTTTTCAGTACTGGGGCCAAAGCTCTGGAAAGAGCTGCCCGCAACTGTGAAGCATGCTTCCTCACTCAGCATCTTTAGGGGTCAGCTGTAGACACATTTTTATTCACTGGCTTTTACTTACATTGCTCAGCGATAAGGGGTGGTTGCTGCTTGTCTGCTGGTCCCACCTAAAGTTTAACTACAGGTTTTGATTAATTTCTTAAATGCTTTTAAATGTTATTTTGTTGTGGTTTTTTATGTCAAACTGTGGTAATTTGTTGTGTTCAGCGTTTTGTTCTTCCCTCGGGCCATAAGAAGGCGCTTTATAAATAAACAAACCTGAAACCTGACTAAACCACCGCAATCTGGTTCTGCAATATCAGGTTTTGGTCCAAATGGGTTCTCTAGCAACAGATCCCAACTCCAACTCAACCAAACTGGAAGTCAATTGGCAACTGAATGAGTAGCGGGAGGAAGCAAGAGACCAGAACTATGGGTGACTAGTTATTAGATGTTATTATGAATACCAATAAATAAAATTACCCAAGAGCCCTGAAGGCTGACTGGTTCAGGTGAGCCTGTTGTCTGTTGGGGTTGAAGCCCAGCTGTGGTCTCCACGGTTCCCTGTTCCCTCTCTCCCAGTCTCCTGGTTTCAGCACCTTACTGGGAATCCTGGAAAACAATCAAGTCAACAGTCAAGAAGAACAGGTGCTGCTGAGCCTTACTGGTGGAGGTGTGCAGGGACCAGGTAAAGTTGCTTGCACACGAACTTGGTGGACTGTACAATTGCCACGGCACAGCGGTGTGTGTGTGTGTGTGTGTGTGTGTGTGTGTGTGTGTGGGTGGGGGGATCAGCTGTGTCTTCCAGAAGTGGATCACTCATTCTTTAGTCCATGAAAAGGTTATAGAACGGCTTGCCAGGCTACTATTTTAGTGATTATTTAATATTTAAAGAAAGAGTGGAATCAGTGTATTAGTCAGTGAGCCGTCACGCCATCAAATGGGAGGTCGGATTAAATAAACGATGTCCTAAATAATGAGGGACGGCTTTTATATTTGATGAACATCCCCGTGTTTGGTAAAATCCAACTGAGAATTTGTATTTTGTGAGGTAAATTAAAACTTAATTATTGCACAAATCTTTTGGCAAATGTGTTCATGTCTACTGCTGGAAATATCCTGATTTATTGTGGAGTTTACCCAGGACAGAATCCCCGTTTCTGCCAACTTTGAACACAGCAGCTGCAGCTGGAGCGGGTGGATGAAGACATGTTTGTAAAGGCGACACAGCAACGTTGGTTATGCAGACGTGGTTTGGGATTAAGAAGGAGATGAAGGTCCAAACATTTGGATATCTCCTGTGATTTAGTTTCTCCCATTTCTTGTCCCATTTATTAAACAGTCCAGTCTCTCTCTGCGCTGCACTCAGCCTTCAGACCCGCTGATCAGGATGGAGGAAAAAAGACAAATCTGCAACCTTCTTTTAATATAGTCAACTAAAATGCAGCAAAGCATAAGTTCACCTGCAGTTAGTGAAGTAAAACTTTACTTCTATGAGTAAAAAAAGAGCATTAAAAATGATTAAATGAATCAGGAAGAAACATCATTGTTTTTACAAAAACTACTTATAATTGTGCGCTTTCATCACATTTAGCTTGTTTTTTATTTAAAATACCTTCATCTTTATTCACTTTATGAGAATTTTTCTGTTGCATGTTTGGAAAAAGAATCACAACACAACAATCGGTTTTAAGGTTTTGTGTTTTGAACATCAAATGTTCTTTAAATGACGTTCTATACATTTAACTAAATAAAAGTGAACCCCTCCCCCACCTCTAGGGGGACACCCACATTCCCAGTTGCTGCATTTAGCAGTAAATCAAACCCAGAATGAAGAATGATTCATGATCTTTGTCCATGTTGTGCCACTTTTGTGCTAAAATATCAAATATGCTCAAGTCATCATCAAGTCAACAGATGCAAGTCGATTCAAGTCACAAGTCATTGGCGTTTAAGTTCGAGTCAAGTCGTAAGTCTTTATAGATTTTATCAAGTCAATACAGAAGTCATTAAAAAAATGACTCGAGTCCAAGTCATGTGGCTCGAGTCCACACCTCTGGAATTCACACAGGTGATGGTGGGGTTCCTTCAAATCCAAGTGTCTTATGCTTGGATTGAAGGCGTGGCTCATGATAATAGCTTATATTTAGTTATCTCTGTAAAACAATGACATCTCAGTTGTGCCAACGGTAAGATTTTATCACATATTGTGCCTATCGTTTCACTGGAAAGTGTAAAAAAAAGCATGAAACGGGCCCTTTCAATGAAGTGACGATATCGGCAAACTTTGACCCCTGTTCAGTGAAGGTTAAACAAAGATGTGATGAGATGATGAAATTCTTACTTGGCTCCAGACAGCAGGACAGCTTTGAACACAAAACCTTCTGCAAACTGAGGATCCTTGAACTTCACACTGCAAAAAAAATAAAAATAAAAAAATAAAAATAAAAGCGTGGTTTACTAAATCTTGAGAGGCGATATATAAAAAATTCTTCTAAAGCACATCAGTTTGAAGTTTGAAAGGATTTTAATGCATTTGAAAACTGTGTAAGCTATTTTCTACACAAACTGTGACCTGGTTTAAAAGTACTCTTTGGAGATGGGAAACCTAGCAGCTAAGGAGGGGCTTGGAGTAGGCCCGCTGCTCCTCCACATCGAGGAGCCAGGTGAGGTGGCTCAGGCATTTGATTAAGATGCCTCCTAGACACCTCCCTGGTGGTTTTCTGGGCACGTCCAACTGGAGGAAGACCTAAAGGAAGACTCAGGACAGGCTGGAGGGACTTTTGTCACTTACACACTAGCATTGGGACCACTCCGCCTGGACCAGTTAGGGAGTGTTCTCACCAAGGTTGCCTTGGATTTTTCTGCGCGCAACCGCTTGTTTTTTCAGTCTTCTTTCCAAGGCGGTCTGCCTGGAGCCAAACTAGTCCTACACGCCCACTGCAAACTACCTGGCCGGCTCAATAGCATGCCTACCGTTAGGGGGAGCCTCTGATAGGGAAATAGAATCAGCCTGTGGGGAATTCACGCATGCGCAAATCATTATCGTTCTGGATGCTGTGGAGTTGATGAGCCTCAGACTGAAGCCGTTTCTCTCTGTCTCTCACTGCTGTGAGAATCTGTGGGAGGAAACCTGAAAAAACTCACACATGCCAACACGTTAACTACACATATAAATGAGAACAACATGCTAACTCCACGCAAAGAGGCAGTAGCTTTGATTTGAACCTGCAACCTCCTAGCAGCAGAGCTGACAACTGCTACGCCATGGAGCCCGTGAGAACCACAGGCCCAGCTGGTTAGAATAAGCAGTGATGCTAGAACCTGACCAGAAGAGAACAGCTAAAGCAGCCGATCAGGTACTCACTTGATGGCGCTGCAGTGAGAAATGTCTCGCAGCGTCGGGATCGGAGACTTCACTATCCTGCAGGACAAAAATATAATGTTAATTGTAGAAAATGTTTCAAGATGAAATCAGCGCAAAGTGTTTCACATGAACACAGAATACAGTCATCAATAATACACAACCAGGTCAACACCCCCAACCCTCACCCCTTCACTGTACCAAAAACAGCAGTCACTTCTTCCAGGATTATAACCTGAATATAGCAAACATATAAATAGATAAAAAATCTGGAATTAAGGTACTGTGAGGAAACAATATGTTGAAATTCCACCACACCCCCCAACCCCTCCAGGGGAGTCACCACTGGCTGAACAACAAACATCTAAGCAGCTTGTTTTTGGGTGGAGACATTAGAACATGATCAGGATGCCGCCAGTGTATCTTACTTATCTGGCAGAATTGGGTCTTCATCGAGGTTTAATGAACCCTGGATTCCATGGCAGAGCTCAGCAGGGATTGTAGAGACCTGAAAGGGAAGAACCATCAGAAACCAGTCAGTTCAACACCATCATACTAAATAAGCACAACCATATAAAGCTTGGTTTCCATCTTTCAGAGTAATTTTGTTTTGAAACACGTGTTTCAAAATAGGATTTTTCAAAACAGAGCCTGAGGCTACGTTCACACTGCAGGCAGAAGCGCAACACCACCGATTTTTTCCCACCTGTGACTCACATCTGATTTTTTAAGATGGTCTGAACAGCACAGATCTGAATTTTTCAAATCTGATTCAAGTCACTTTCATACGTGGTACTGATTCTGATATGTATCTGATGTTTTTGAAAGTGACTTCAGTCTGAATGGTCAAGTCAAGTCAAGTTTATTTATATAGCGCCAAATCACGACAAAAGTCGTCTCAAGGCACTTCACATAATAAACATTCCAATTCACAGTTCATTAAGCCAATCAGAAATAATGTTTCCTATATAAGGAACCCAGCAAATTGCATCAAGTCACTGACTAGTGTCAGTGACTATACAGCAATCCTCATACTAAGCAAGCATGCAGCGACAGTGGAGAGGAAAACTCCCTTTTAACAGGAAGAAACCTCCAGAGAATCCTGGCTCAGTATAAGCAGCCATCCTCCACAACTCACTGGGGATCGAGAAGACAGAGCGCACGCACACACACACACACACACACACGCGCGCGCGCACACGCACACACACACACACACACACACACACACAAGTAATGTGTCTATAGTTATATTGTGATGTCTTAGTAAATATTGTATTTGGTGAAAGATAAACTTTATTGTATTTATCCTAGTGGATCTATAATTAAACGGATAAACTAGTATTAGCACATCAAAAGTCAATGAAAACATGTCAATGAAAACATGTTAGTCATGTCGTACTAACACAACTATCCAGTTTTCCCCTTCCAGGAATTGTGTGTGATTTTTCAGAAATCCATAAAAGTGACAGTGTCATCATGTACTGTGAAATAATGTAAGAAACACGTCTTTTTTTGGTTGCTAAGCACACCCCCTGTCCTGTAGAGCTCTATGCAATATAAACTGAGCACCAGTCAGCACCAAAAGCGTTAGACTATTGCTAACATACAGACGCTAATCACAGAGCATGCTTCAGCGTTGCAGAGTTGGCAACTTTCTCTGGGACGAGTCTTTAAAATTGCAAACAAGGGAAGCAGAAGATAGATATAAAAATATAAAAATAAATTGGTAACAATAATTAGGAAGCAAAAAAACATAGATTATTATGGTAATCTATTGAATCAGAATAAAAACACAAAAGCTACTTGGGGAATAATAAACAGTGTGTTTACAACAATGTGTTTTACAACCAAATATCCACAATAAACTTTTCTAATAGTTTTTTTGGACTGAATTTTATACGAATTAGAAAAATATTTTTACCTGCAGTTTGCTCTTTAAGTTAGAGAAGATATACCTTGCAGTGAAGGGTGTTTAAGGAAAGTTTGGTCACATATGGGGCCCCTACGTGAGCATTTGTGACTCACTACAGCCCTTTTTACAAGACACGCCATGCCGGCAAATCGGCGAAATATTACCGCAATGGTATGTCTATAAATGTGCCATGCCGGCATGGCGTTGCGCGAATTTTGCAGCCTTCGTTCCGCCTCGCTTGGTAGTAATATTGCGGTAATGGTCTGTCATGTGCGCCCTGGCGCAACAGAGGCAGATGTCATGATGATGTGGGGAGTTATTGCTGAGCTCCGGCTGGCAAATTTATTGAAAATGAAAGTAAACACGGGCAATAAGGTTTGCTTTTTGAACAAAATCAGCTGAGATGGCAAACTGGAGCCCCGCAGAGCTCCATGAGCCTCTCTGTTAGAGCTGAAGCTCAGACCACCAGAGACTGCACAGGGACTGATGGGGACAGACCCCTTTAGGAGCTGCTTGTTAAAAAAAACTTAACGATCACAGCTTAAATCGCAATAAAAAGCAAGTTATGTCCAAGATAAACAGAAGTCTGCGGCAGCGCAGACCGCCCCATACCCCCTTTATGCCACCATCACCTAATCTTTTATAAAATTGCCACGACTGCGCCACATTACCGCCACGTTCTGATCTTATAAACGACCTTTATCCTCCCCAGGGAGCCTCGGCAAATCCCGTGTTGCAAACGCTCTGGTCCTGTAAAAACAGCGTAAATGATGTGCCCATTGCTTGATGTGGTTTTACCCTCCCCCTTTTGTTTGTGGAGTAATGTTTTGTTGTTATAAAAAAACAGAATCTGAATTGAGAATCAATACCTGCAGTGTGAAGTAGCCAAAGTCTCCCTCCTTTCCACTCGGCTCACGGGTCCCTGAACGGGTCTAAAAGAGCTATTTTCTGATCCACTTTGCCATATGCACTGAATCTCACACAAGTTGTGCTTCTGTTTACTTGATAAATAATTATACAAGTTTTAACTGTCATGTATTTTGAGATTTTATAACTTGTAAAAAAGACGTAATTAAAAACACGTCTAATGTTGCATATGTGACATCACAGCAGAATCTCCTTCCCCAGCGTAGCTGCTACTGACCATATGACCAGATTCATAGTGGTTTTCTCCATCTTTAATGCTCCTTCTGTAATCCTGGAAGAAGGGTGTGAAGCTCGCTAAACTCTCAGCCATTTTTCTTCTCCGTGTCTGGTTTGATGACGTCAATATGATTACATGCATTTCAAGTTCTACATGTCCTTTCACACAAAACCTAAAATAACGTTTGCCATCCACTCAAAATAAGTGCTTTCTTGGCATCAAAACACGCCTTCAATCAATGGCACAGATCAAACAGGATCAGAAAATAACTTGAACCTCTTAAGAGACTCCCATTCATGTGTTTTGGCAGTTGAGGACCCATGGATGAAGTAGATAGGCGAGACTTTAACTCCCCACGTAAGTTGTTTTATTAATCCTTTTAGTCTAAAAAAAGACCAAAACAACAAAACCGACAAACTGAACTGGAATTTGTCCTGAAACTATAAGACAGGCCGTGGTTTCAGTTACCTGGTGAGATTCTGAACGGTAGAGTTCGTGTATGAAGTCAAACAGCGGGTGAGGCTTTCCTAGGAACAACACGTCACTTCCCAGACTGTTTCTTCTCTCTGCAGAAGAAAACCAGCAAACTTTTAAAGGGTTTAAACAAAACATTTAACACAACACCAACTATTTCTCAACTAATAATCCAGTTGCTTCCACAAGGATTCTACAAATCAAAGCCGACCCAATGTGGAAAGATCAGCCCGTTCTGCTCCAATCAGGTTGGAAGGTCAGACCGACACCCAGGAGCAGAACATTGGACTCACCTTCATCAGGTGTGAGGTCAGGATAAACATCAGCCAGGGCTGCCCTCAGCCGACGCTCATCCACAAAAGGCAACAAGGCAACACCTTCCAGGGAAACAAAAACCAGTTGAACCAATGTCACAACTCTGGCTGGTTGGCTGTTTCAGAGCCAAGAAGATGAAATCATTTAAAAAACTTCAGACACATAACCAGTTCAGAAGAAAGAGATCTAGTCTGAAAGGGAGCGGCTTACCCTGCCAGGCAAACTTCTTTCCATTTAGATCAATAGCAAAGTCGTCCGGGTAGAAATCGATAATGGACGAATTCTGCATCAAAGAAAATTTAAAGGCTAACATCTGATTTTAAAGTGAGTTTTCAGTTTGATCAATAAGACTTACCACACTGATCATCAGGTTTCTCCAGGATAGTGGCAGGAAGTTACCACTGGCTGCAGGAAATACACTCATCAGCTGCTCTAGAGGTTTAAACTGAACAAGCATCAGACAAACACATCAATATCCAACAAACCATCAGCACTATGCATCCTCATTTTGTCACAGAACATTTGAAAGACCAACTATATGAGGTGTGTGTGTGCAGCCTCACTGGTTTGGTGTCCTTCTCGAAATCAGTGAACATCCCATTGATGTCTTTGAAGTCTGAAGCAAATGGAGCGTAGTGGAATGGGAAGTACCACTTCCAGGAGCCACAGCCCTAAAAATCAACAAACATATTCATCCCAAATCTGAATCATGACCTCGCTCAGAATAAAATTGTTTAGATGGATTCATGTGAGAATAGAAAACTGTTATAACTTCATTTAAAAGTCATATGTCTGCTTTTAAGACTCAATTGTGTCCTGCTCAGTTTCATTCTGACCCAAACTAGTTGCTGTCACTTCAGAAGCTCTGCCTCTATTACTGAAGCTTCGAATGTATTTACACTAGAACCTCTTTTACCCTGCAGGTTCAACATCCTCTGATGAGAGCAATTACCTCTGGTTCGGTTTATAAGTGAACAAAGGCTGCAACAGGAAGAAAAGATGGAATCCAACTCTGCAGATTGGCAAAACTTCTCCTTTCTGAACAAGCACGTCTCCCAGCCAAGAACAACCGTAACTTCCCACAATCTTGCACCAATTTTTCATCGCAGCCAATGCTGCTTTAAAGCTTTCCACTCTATTATAAAAGCAGCGCATTCCAATGATAATACAGACAGTTACCATAATAAAGGGCTCCATGACTGGTGTGTCACACATGCAACAATAAAAAACATGTTTCAAATTCAATTCAGGAGTTGGACACGAAATATGCTTGTCGGATCGTCAAACTAAATAAAACAAGTACAGATGAATTTAATCAATTTCGCTCTGGGATAAATAAAGTATTTTTGAATTGAATTGAATTAATGTGACGAATGCTTTTTATCCACAACAATTCAAAAACTTATCAAAGTTTTAAAAAGTAGTAGCTAGTGTGCTTATTTAATGTAAATGTGCTAAATACAAAATAGCGTGTGCTTGTTTTCTCTTAAAGATAAATAAAAAGAAAAAAAAAACATTTTTAATAATCATTTCTGATTCTAATGGGTCACTCATACTTTGTTTCATGCAGGCTGAACATGAAAATTGTCTCCTATTTTATTTCTACAGCACTTATCACAGACATGGAATCACTAAGTGCTTCACATAAATCAAAACAAAATAAAGTCATGAAATCATAATGATCTCAAAATAGAAATAGATTAACATCAGAAATATAAAGTCATAAAATTATAAAATACCATAAAACAAATGAAAAGCAGTCCTGAAGTTGAAAGAGGGCTCCTACAGGTCAGCTTATTGTCTTTGGAATACCAGGAAATAATACTCCAAAACTTGCCATCTGAAGCGCAGAGAGAAAATTATCTCTGCCTGACCCAAAAAAATTCTTCCCATCTGAATCTGGCACACCGGTAGCCTTGAGCTGAAAGAAGTCAAACCCCCACGAAGGAATGCAGACAGATGCTGTGAAAAACCAACCTGTGAAATGTTCATGTTCGTGCTTGTATGTTTAAGGTGTTTTTAGCATAACAAAGCTACCCC